CCTCAGCACCATATCTAGCCATCAAGACACTACAGAAGCTTGCAATCGAAGAATCAAACAAATTTCCGGCAGCAAGCCAAGCAGCATTGAGAGACTTCTACGTCGATGACATATTATCGGGAGCAGCAGATACAGAATCAGCTCTAGAACTACAAAACCAACTAATAAAAATGCTCAGCCTTGCTGGATTCAACCTGAGAAAATGGTCTAGCAACTCACCGGCATTACTCCAATCAATTCCAGAATGGTTCCGAGAACAGAAAATACAAGAACTACCTCAGGAAGACTTCAAGAAATCTCTGGGCGTACTCTGGTCACCAGCAGACGATACCTTCAAATTCCAAGTCAAAGCCTCCGAGATACGCGAATTAACAAAACGACAAATTTTGTCAGAAATATCTAAGTTATTCGACCCCTTAGGATGGTTGTCTCCAATCGTAATACAAGCTAAACTCATCATTCAAGACTTATGGCTAAGAAACCTGAGCTGGGATGAGCCTGTAGATGAAGAAATATCTTCAAGATGGATACAGTTTTAGAGCAAAATAAAAGAAGTAGAAACAATCAAGATTCCGAGGTGGATAAATCTGAGAAAAACAAAAATTGAACTACACGGCTTTTGCGATGCATCAGAAAAAGCCTATGGTGCAGTGATCTACAGTCAGATAGAAGAAGAAGATAAGCGAACTATAACGCTGCTGCAAGCAAAATCAAAAGTCGCTCCAGCAAAAAAGAGAACAACCCTACCTCGCTTGGAGCTATGTGCAGCAGTCCTACTATCAAAACTAAGACAGCACTTCAAATGGGTGACACCCAGACCTTCGCTTGGACCGACTCCATGATCACTTTTGCCTGGATCAAGGGTGACTCTGCGAGATGGAAAACCTTCGTGGCAAATAGAGTTTGCGAAATACACAGGAACGCCCCTCAAGTACCACGTCAAGTCCCAGGAAAACCCAGCAGACATCATATCCAGGGGATTGGACCCAGATAAACTACAATCAGCTGATCTGTGGTGGCAAAGGCCCTCATTGGCTGACGTATCTCCATGAAATTCCCACAACAGACAACATTCCCGACATTCAAGAAGAAGTAAAAGCCACATGTCACAAAATTGAAGTTACGATAAGGAGCGATTTATGGGAACGCTTCTCAAACTTGACAAGGATGCTCAGGGTATTATCCTACTGCCATCGATTCATCAAAAAAGAGAAAACTTTTACTCCATCCGTTCAAGAAGTTCAAAACATTTCCGAAAGAATCGTAAAAATAGTCCAACAGCAAGAGTTTACCGAAGAATACAAATCTTTTCAACAGCAGAACGCAGTCGACAAGAAAAGTAAGCCACAGACCCTCAACCCATTTCTTGACAGTAAGGGCATAATCCGAGTCGAAGAAAGACTCGAACGCTCACCTCTTCCCTACGACCAACGACACCCGATGATTCTTCCATACCATTCTCACATATCTATGCTGGTGGTGAGTAACGCACACAAGACCACGCTATAGAGGCAACCAAGCGACATTGTCGTACATACGAAGCAGATTCTGGATCATCAACGGTAAGCGAACCGTCAAAGCAATTATAAATAAGTGCATTGTATGCATCCGTCACAAAGCCGAGACCGCACTGCAACTCATGGGACAACTTCCGAAATCGAGAGTAACACCAGCACCACCATTTACAAACTCAGGAGTCACAAATCGTACAAAGGGTACATCGCAGTATTCGTATGCCTAGCAACCAAAGCCATTCACCTAGAAGTAGTCAGTGACATGACAACAGAGGCATTCTTGGCAGCACTTCGACGTTTCAAAGCCAGAAGGGGACATTGTGCGAATATGTACAGTGATAACGGAACTACATTTGTTGGAGCAGCATGCCTATTCGAAGATGAAATCACAAAATTGATACAATCACAATCTGTGCAAAACACAATCGTCAACTTAGGAACACAATGGCACTTCATTCCACCAGCAGCCCCACATTTCGGAGGACTATGGGAGGCAGGTGCAAAATCTATGAAGCACCATCTCAAGAGAGTTATTGGAGACTGCACTTTGACCCATGAAGAATTAACAACGTTGGTGTATCAAATCGAAGCATGTTTGAACTCAAGACCACTCTACCCGCTAGCAGAAGACACAGATGATTTCAACATCTTGACCCCAGGACACTTTCTCATAGGAAGAGAACTTGTAGCACCACCAAACTTGGAATCGACAGAATATTTTAACATATCTCAACGATGGAGACACGTGCAAAAGTTGAAGAAAAACATTTGGAGCGCATGGTGCACAGAATACCTCAACAGACTGCAGCAAAGATACAAATGGAAGAATCAGACCAACAATCTACGAGTAGGAACAATGGTCCTAATCAAAGAAGAAAATATAAACCCAAACCAATGGCCTTTGGGGAGAATTATAGAAACTCACCAGGGACAAGATGGAGCAATCCAAGTGGTAACAATAAAGAAAGCAGGTGGCTCACCACAAAAAAAAAACCGATCCACAAGTTAATCCCATTACCGACAGAAGACATACACCATTTAACAACCACCCAAAACCACTCAGAGGTACGGAGATCAGACCGACTACGGAACGTAGCATCAACATCAGCAAAATCATATGTATTGTTTTTCCTAGCAGCCATAATTATGATGATTACAACCGCCGCTGCAGAAACAGGGCTTAGAATCAAGTATCCAGAACATAGTTTTTATGTTGAACACCTTAAATCAGCGAAAATTGATAGAGGGATTTTTAGGATAGAGATAACGTATTCTAAGAACAAAACTGAAACGGAATTATCAGAGGTATCCACAGTCGTCAGCCAATTCAAAAATATGTGCAACGAATCCAAGAAGCTCAGCGATGAAGTCAAATGCACATCCCTCGTACAACACTTAGAAGAAATGGAAAATCTCTCCAAATGGATATTTGCTACCATGGCCGACATTCACCACAGAACTAAGAGAAGACTATTTGGAAAACTTTTGACTGCGGTTTTTGGAGTGAATGACGAAGTATATCAAGATACCGAGGCAATGAACAACAATCAGGAAGAACTCATCAGAGCATCGAACTACCAAACAAAGTTCATGATCTCGGTCCTCACAAAATTGAACGAAACAGAAGCCAGAATCACGAACAAACTACAACATTTCCAGAAACGACTCAACGAAGGAATAGAAGCTATCAACAGCATGCAGATTTGGTACAAGCAAATAGATACTAATGCCCTTAACATTCACCTATTGAGTGCATACCAAGTAGCTACCAACTTCATCAGCGAAACCAATGAGCACTATGATAAATTGCTGAACATCAACTTCAACAGGGGTACGATATATGACCAAGTTTCACCAGCATATATCAACGCCGTCATTCAAAAATCCAATCGAAAGCTCCCAAACAATCTAAAGATTCTTTCGGCAGCAGTGTCCACAAGATTAATCACCAACAACACGCACCTCAAGGTGTGTGGATACTTTCCAATAGTTGACGTGACACCGATTTCACTCAGAATTGAAAATGAAACATAGTGGGCGTTGGACCTTCACGATGATTACACCGCCGTCGACTACAACAGTCAAACATACTTTCAGCTCCATGAAAGCGACCTCCAACAGTGCATGCAGCCCTACCCACACCAGCTCATCTGTTCTCCAGTTTCTGTTAGAAACATTGAATCTAATCCATCCTGCGTCATCGACGAAATTTATGAACGAACCATGTACAACGAATACATGGATGTTCATCGCAGGATCGTCTACAACAATAGCGGTTATATTCAACGGCGAGCGGGAAGAGGTAGGAATAAATACGACGGGAATAATTCAAATTTCTCAAGACTGCACCATCCAGACAAAACAGAACATTCTTACTCCCATAAGAAGCGCAATCGTTTCAGTGATAGGCAGCTATGTAAAAGCTGTACCCATAATCTTTAATGGTACTCTCCACAAACATCCACCGTCAGATATAGCCACTGAGCCCGTGTTTAGAGAATCCGATAGTTTTGGAGACCTAGTAAGAGAAGAAGAGGACCTCGATGATCGACTTCATAACAAAGTATGGCGCAGTATTCATCACCACTTCGCAGCCACTAGCAGCATCACCACCATAGTCATCATTATACTGGTGATTGCAGGATAGCAAACAACAAAACTTATCAACAGAAGACGTCAAAAGCAGACAAGATATCAACACCAAGACCAAAAAGAAGACGTAGAACTAATGTCTCTGCATTCTTCCAGTCTGGAGAGGCGGCAGAATGTTTAATTAGAACAATTAAACAGTGATTAACCTTCGCCGGCGTAATTTGACCGACTTCGTATATTTATATTTTATATTTTATAGATATTTATTCAATATCACGGTCAGCTTGCTATATGAGATTTTAGCAAGTCACAATGTTTGGGTAATATAAAAATATCCAAAACATTGTAAGTTGCATTCCAGCATGCATTTAAATAATTACGGTCACAATGTTTTATATTTTTGCAGTTTTTGTCACGATTAGTTTGTCAAAATTCAATATAAGAAGGGATGTGAGATTCGAAATAAATCAGTATTCATGCTTCAAAAGGTGTTTTACTCAAATCGTTTCCTGTGCCCAAGCCTTCTTGGCCAATGCAGAGAGTGAGGCTGCTCTTTGACAGAAAACGATACAATCGTCCCGCTGCTCAACCAAGCCGAGTTGGGCAAGCGAGCACAGCTTGCACAGTAATTTTTAATTGTCTCAGATTCGGTTAGAATTTATTCCATATTCACAGATATTAAAAATCTTCATAAAACCAAAGTAGAGTATTGTTTATACTCTACAATAATAAGCCACATCAACCCATCAGCAGAAAAGTGGAAATGGAAAACCCCATCCCCACAAACACTATCAATTAAAAAAGCGTGGAAAAGAATTTCGGGAAAAGACATTAAAGAAGAAGAAACAGAAATAAGTGACACAAAACAACATCAATGAAACAGCAACAAAGTAGCAAAGAAGAAAAAGAAAAAGAAGAAAACGATAGCGCAAGAACAAGAGAATTGATGCAGCAAACAATGGGAAAATAAATTCAAGAAAATACAGAGAAATCAATAAAATAATTAAAATAACTTAGACGAGACATAAAGAAAAACAATGGAGCAATTATTTGACAAATTATAAATAGACAAGAACAGTCTTTTTATTAATACTAATATAATTCCTAAACTTAAATACAAAGCCAAAAACAAAAACACAACAGAACAAATAAATAATAAGTCTAACAAAATTATACAAACATACAAAGTTCCTACAAATCTAATAACCAAAGTTATAATTATCCAAAATAAAACAATTTTTCTTCGGAATCCTCACTCCTTTCGGCCACTTTACTTTTCCTTTTCGACTTTTCCTTTTTCGGACAAACATCGTAGCCGATAGGAACACAGTTTTTGACAATCAATGTGGCCATTCTTCTCTTGTTGGTTACAGTTTTAGTGACGTAAATGGTGCTCGTTTGAAAAACTCTTCTCCGTTGATAGTTCGGTAAAATAGTTTCGAGTTGATCCAAGCGATCTTCGATCAGGAGCTCTTGGACTTTTTGAGGCGACATCGAAGGGGTGTTTTGGAAAGCTCGTTGTGATTGGTCACTTTCTGGTATTTCACTTGGTTCTACAAAAAATAATTAATTATTAGAAGTATTATTGTGAAACAAAACAAAAATTTACCTAAATTGCCAAATGACACTTTTAGATTGAATTTATCAGCATCAAAATCATCTTCTTCGGAAATGACATCAAATTCTGAAATAACTTCTTGTTGGATGTTATCATTATTTTTCAAAAAGTTTTGTTTCGTTATCAATTTATCAACGTTTTCCCTTATTCGTCCATCTTCAGACTTGCACATCTTTTGCTTCTTATTATATTTAACACAAATAGGATTTTTATAAAAATATTTAGTTTTCACTGTCAAAACTTTCGTAGTCACAGGCGTAGCCACAATATTTTGCATTTTATTCAAATGATCCCTATGCCGAAATTTATTTATACTATCAGGAATAGGCAGTTGATTTATATAAGGCATATTAAGATTGGGCAACATGTCCAAATAGTTTTTAGGTCGGTAATATTTCGCGCATTCTTGTAATAGATTGTTCGCTTGCACGCAAACACTGTGAACTACTGCCAAAACGATAAAGTACCACATTACGTTGCACTTGAGTAGTACCGCTCACTGCACTAGAACGAAATGGATCAACGGGCAACTGAAGAATGAACCACTCAGTGGCTTTTGATTGCTACAAGACCGCGATTATATAGTTAATGTTTAACGCTTGAGTTATATGCAATTTTGTAGGATGTAATTTTGCAAAATGTAAGTCATAGGCGTACAATTCAAGACTAATACGCTTCGAATGATGGATGTCTAGAAAGTCCAACATTTCTGTGGGTGTTGGATTCATTTGTGTTTAAAACTAACTTATTTTTCTCGATTGTATTCATAATAAAAGTGCACGGGATTTTTTTCTCAAATTTGGCGTCAAGGTAAGAAAGCACTATAAGCAAAGAATCTATACGACTTCGAGCAACAATTTTTTTTTCCAAATTACATATTCAAGGCTCAAATATGGTACGACAATGTTCTTTAGTACCGTTTCCGCAGCATATGTGTGTATAATTAAGAAGGATGCAAAATGAGCAATCTTAACTATTTAATTATAAACCATCAAACTCTTATTGATGTGTAACATTTGTTATGGTTTAATTTCGTAACAGATTTAACCTAGATTTTTCAGTTATGGGAAACTAGTACTTTATTTTAAATAGGTCTAGTTTAAATTTTGCTTAAATTTAATTGGGAAAAGTTCTTTTTGTTCATTGTCGAAATTGAAAATGTGGGTGACCCCGATGCAAATCACGACTTTGCGAACCTAGTTCGGAACTAATTGAGCGAATCAAGGCGGAAAATTTATTGTTTTTCTTTGATTGTATTGTTTATTTTTATTAAAAAACAAAATCAAGGTATTTACACCAAAGCCATGTTATAATCTAGTAAAATTACTCATCCCTTTACTAGATACTTTACAAAAACCCATTAAGATATACCCTTTATATCTTGACCATAATGCCTAATTACCGGAAATTCTTTAAATTTTTATCCAAACTATATAACTGGGTGCCATCAAGGTATTTTAGTACCGATATATCAGTAACCATGTATACGCGTTTTTTGATAATTTTCATATTCGTGCAAGTTTTTGGTGGTTTGGAGGGTGCCGAAATTTTGCCTAGTAGAGTGAGAAGAGGCATCTTTGGTACTTTGACTACGAAAGTATACAAAACTGTCGAAGAAATTCATCATGTGCCTGCAAGCTGTGTTCATTTTGCGCCCAATTTGCCTGACTGTAGAAATATGCGGTTTATGAATAATTATCCTAAATTTAATTCAGATGCGTAAGTGAATATGTTTTATAAATATGTAGTATCGGAAACAATATATTTTTTAAGACAAAAATATATACACTTATGGTGTCTTCTCAGAGCTATCTGGGTTTTCAAGTTTTAAGGATTTTAGGACTTGAAAAATGGGGTTCAATCAGGTGGATAAGATAAGATGGTTTTATATCAGTAAAGTAAAGTCAAATGAAACAATTTGAAATCTACCTACAATCTGTATATTTGTAAAATAACTAAATCGTATCTATCATTATCTATTCAAATACATTATTTGACGAACTTTTATTATATTCCCTCATTACATTTGAAATAACTGAGTATTTTTACAAGGTTGGCATACAGGTTTGTAGAGAATTTAATTGGCTTTAATTAGAGTCTTATTGTGTTGAAATCGAATGAAAATAAAAGGAGCTTTGAGACAAAAACTGTTTCAGGGTAATTTTTGGAAAATTTTTAATCTTGGTTAAATTCAATTTTGAAGCTCCTCAGGTGCAAAGCTTTCGGAACCAAATTAAAACATAAATAACAGATTTATAGAGAATTTGATTGGCTTTAATTAGAGCTCAATTACATTTAAATCGGATAAAAATTAACAGAGCTGTGAAGCAAAAACTATCTTAGTATCATTTTTGGATAATTTTCAATGTTCGATAAATTCAATTTTGAAGCTTCTCAGGTGTAAAATTGTCGAAACCAATTTGAAATCTCAATAAACAAATTTGTAGAGAATTTAATTGGCTTTAATAGGAGCTCAATTACATTGAAATCGGATGAAAATTAACGGAGCTGTGAGGCAGTGTCATTTTTGGAAAATGTTCAATGTTCGATAAATTCAATTTTGAAGCTCTTCAGGTGCAAAACTTTTGGAACCAAATTAAAATCCTAATTAACCGATTTGTAGAGAATTTGATTGGCTTCAACTAGAGCTTAAATACATTTAAATCGGACAAAAATTAACAGAGCTATGAGGCAAAAACTGTCTCAGTGTCATTTTTGGAAAATTTTCAATGTTCGATAAATTCAACTTTAAAGCTTCTCAGGTGTGCAACTGTTGAAGCCAATTGAAAATCTCAATAAACAAGTTTGTAGAGAATTTAATTGGGATTAATCAGAGCTTAATAACATTGAAATCGGATGGAAATTAACGGAGCTGTGAGGCAAAAACTGTTTCAGTTTCATTTTTGGAAAATTTTCAATTTTCAATAAATTCAATTTTGAAGCTTCTCAGGTGCAAAACTGTTGGAACCGATTAAAAATCTCAATCAACAAAGTTTGTAAAGAATTTAATTGGCTTTAATCAGAGCTTAATTATATTGAAATTGGATGCATGAAAACTACCGGAGCTGTGAGGCAAAAACTGTTCCAGTATGATGCTTTTTGGAAAAATTTTCAATGTTCGATAAATTCGATTTTGAAGCTTCTCAGGTGCAAAACTTTTGAAACAAAACTAAAATATTAATTAACAAGTTTGTAGAGAATTTTATTGGCTTCAATAAGAGCCTAATTGCACTGAAATTTAATAAAGATTAAAGGAGCTGTGAGGCAAAAACTGTCTCGGTGTCATTTTCGGAAAATTCTCAATATTTGATAATTTCAATTTTGAAGCTTCTCAGCTGCCAATCCAATTTGTTGGAATTAAATTAAAATCCTAATTGTAAGGTTTATAGAGAATTTAATTGGCTTTAATTTGAGTTTGATTACATTGAAATCAGATGAAAATTGACGAAGCAGTGTGGCAAAAAATGTCTCAGTGTCATTTTTCGAAAATTTCAAATGTTAATTTTGAAACTTCTCAGATGCAAAACTATTAGTCCAATAGAAATGTTCAACAACCCGGGTTTTTTCCAACCATGATTTCTTAGAAAATTATTGTTCACTAGGTATCTAAATGGTATTTTTTCCCAGCTTCTGAGCCCTGAAAATATATTTAAGAATGCCTCGAATAGGAAATTAGCTTGTATCTTCTCAGAAGCTTAAAAGCTTTATTTGAAGTAATACCTGACTTCATGGTGCAGGCGCTGTGTTTAAAACCTAATAGATGAATTCAAAATTTCCATAGAAAAACAAAACTGAATTATCACATATTCTTTTCTCTTACAGATTCTCGTTTCTTAACTATGGCAAGGAAGTATTTGCAAAAACATTCGAAAAGGATCCTAAAACTGTTACTGAACCAATTCGAAGGTATTTGGCTAAGATGTTTTGACTCGAATTCCTACTATTTATATACATTTTACAGATTAGACCACAAAGAATCAACCACCGAACAAGGTTGGGGCGAATACTTGGGCCTATACCGACCAGTAGTCACGCTCACAGAACTGAAAATTCAACCAAAAACGGTGATAGATTCTAGAGTCATGGTCACTTACGACATCAGAGGTAAATTACTCAAATATTCTGTTAATAAAAACATTTCAATGTTGATACACCTTTAGGGTGCAAGCCTCACGATATGCCCTTTGACTTAGAAAAGTGCACCGACGATAACCAAGTGGAAATAGCTCAAATTTTACCCACAATCACTGTGGATGGAGATGTGAGAGCAACCAAAATGCCAGAAAGTCCTCGAATGATATCTGAAAGTATTTACGGAACGGAAGCTGACGAGGTAGTTCCTGAGAATGTTCACACTACTACAAATGTTTTACCAAATGTCTAATTATTTTAAGTTCAAGTAACATGATTGTATTTAATTATAAGACATATTTTATTGCCAAATGACCTAAATAATCAAGTTAAATACCAGTTTAAACGATTTTTTAATGAAAACCATTAAGTATAATAAGTTTCAAACCCACTTTACGTTGTTTTTAACACCATCCTCTAGGCATTTAAGCTACGACAAACCCGTTCTGGCAGTCACAGTTATTTTTGGTAACACTATTTTGCTCATCCTTGTTATTTTTTTTTTTTTTTTGTTTTATTTCTTATGAAGCTGCGGGGACGAAATATTTGTCTGGGTGCCGCGTATCAAAATAGTCGAAAAAGTGTGCAAAATGGTTAGTGTTTGAGTTTTTGGTTTAGTGGGTGTGTGTGGGTATACAACTGATTATAAGGAAATAATGAATTTCTTCAGGAAAATTAGAGATTCAGTAAGTAATATCTTTCTATTTTAAATCGAAAACATACCATACACATCACATCATACTTCCAGAAATAAAATCGTGTTAAGCAATTTGGGGTGATTTATCAATTTTTCTGAGTGCCTTTTTTCATAGAATCCGGCTCCAAATCTCGGAATAATTTAGTGTATAGAGTTCAGGGGATCCCAAAGGACCATTAGGACACAAAACCTCAACAATTTTTTTTTTGTAATTTCATCGTTTCAGTACCTTATGATTTAGATTTTGGAAGACTTTGAAAGGTCATAGCTTTTCGTCTATTATAGATATAGAAAGCTGAAATTTCCAGCGATTGTTATTCTAGTAGACTACAATCCCTGAAAATTTCAATACATTTGGACTTATAGTTCCAGAAATAAAATCGTGGTAAGCAATTTGGGGTGATTCGTCAATTTTTCAGTTGTTCTGAGTGCCCTTTCCATAGAATTCGGCTCCAAATCTCAGAATAATTTACTGTATCGAGTTTAGGGGATCCCAAAGAACCATTAGGACACAAAATCTCAACAACAAAAAAATTGAAATTTCATCGTTTTAGTAAGTACTGAGGTAGGTGGGTACCTTATGATTTAGATTTTGGAAAACTTTGAAAGGTCATAACTTTTTTTCTATTATAGATAAAAAGCTGAAATTTTCAGCGCTTCTTATTCCAGTAGAGGACTACAGTCCCTGAAAATTTCAGCTCATTTGAACTTATAATTCCAGAAATAAAATCGTGTCAGGCAATTTGTGGTGATTTATCAATTTTTCAATTTTTCTGGGTGCCTTTTTTTTTAGAATCCAGCTCCAAATCTCAGAATAATTTAGTGAATGGAGTTTAGGGGATCCCAAAGGACCATTAGGATACAAAATCTCAACAAAAAAATTTTTGAAGTTTCATCGTTTTAGTAGGTACCTACCTACCTACTGAGATACCCTATGATTTAGATTTCGGAAAACTTTGAAAGGTCATAACTTTTTTTCTATTACAGATAGAAAACTGAAATTTTTAGCGATTCTTACTCCAGTAGAGGACTACAATCCCTGCAAATTTCAGCTCATTTGGACTTATAGTTTCAGAAATAAAATCGTGTGAGGCAATTTGGGGTGACTTATCAATTTTTCAATTTTTCTGAATGCCTTTTTCCATACAATCCGGCTCCAAATCTCAGAATAATTTAGTGTATGGAGTTTGGGGGATCCCAAAGAACCATTAGGACACAAAATCTCAACAAAAAATTGAAATTTCATTGTTTTAGTACCATAAGCTACCTTATGATTTAGATTTTGGAAAACTTTGAATCGTAACTTTTTCTCTATGATAGACAGAAAGCTTAAATTTTTAGCGATTTTTATTCCAGTAGAGGACTAAAATTCCTGAAAATTTGGACATTTAGACTTATCACATCCGTTCTTGTGAAGTTTATTTTCAATTAAGCCTCCTGAAGATGCAAATAAATTTCACTAAAAGTCTACTCCAAAGAATTTCTTTTTGTTTTTTCTCAATTAAAACACAAACTTCTAAATAACACACTGTATTATTTCAAAGAAGTGCTTATGGGAATTGAACAACGATTTGCCATGGTTGGCAGCCATAGAACAATTGCTACTGGGCTCTATATAGAATATAATTACTGTAGATTATGGTTTTTTAGCTACTTTATGAGAAAAGTACTTTATTGTGTTCGGTTATTGCATTAATACCGGACGAGGAAACAAAAAAAAAAAGTTGTTGCTTCCAAACCTGCCAATATGCACAACTTTTAATTCAAATTTCAATTTGCAAACAGGATTTGAAATTTTTTTCATTGGAATACTCCATGCCAATATGCGCTTTGAACTTTGTAATTCAACAGGGTTTGAAATAAAATTCAGTAACACACAGAGACATAAGCATTAATAGAAGTATTAATTGGTATAATTTAACATGTCATTGCATTTTCTATAATGTCAAAAAATAGATAAGTAGGTAGTTCAACAAAATTACTTTTTTGTATTTTCATCATCTAAAACCATATTATTTTCTGTTTAAACAACCTAATGTAATTAGACTCCGTAATAATTATTATTATACAACTTTTGAACCTATGAGAAATCACCTGAATGAATATTTAACATTTTACCATATAAGGTCGCGGTAAAAGCAACGAGATAATAATAAAAGAGAACGCGCACAAGGAACATAGTTAAATAAAATAATTCAAAAAAAAATACCAATTATTGAATTAAACTATCTCAAAGTAACTATGCCTATCTAAATCAGAAACTTGTTAGTGTAATTGTTCCAGGGAAAGTGTACATTTTTGAAGAGAAATGTAGAAGGTACAGGAACAAGTTCGAGGTTTCAGGTTACAAAAGATTTTGGTTTCACTTCTCATCTCACAATGTCTGCTTCTCTTTTCTGAGTAAGGGACTTCCATACCATTGCAGTCCTAGCAATAATGGAAATATGGTTACTTTCTCTCTATTCTGCATTTGCAACGAAGAATTCTGATCTCATCTGTTTTCCTTGATTCTTTTTAGAACTCTCCTTGATGTAGATTTTGTATAGTAGAGATTGCATCTGAAGTTGTTTCGGACTTATACAGCCCTGTACCTTTCCAGAGATTCCATAATAAGTCTTCTTAAACTTTGCTTTTAGTACCCTTAAGCATCAAGGCTATAAGTTCTGTGGAAAGTTCTCTACATATTTATACTTTCTAGTATTCGCCTAGTTATACCTACAGTGCATTTGTGATGTGCTGTTTCAGAACTTTGGATCACTGGGGATGTTATCTATTTATTTTTGTCTTAGAGCTTTTGCGTATAGCTGTGTCACCCTGTAGTGCGCTTTAGCTGATTCTCCTCTCGTTCTGATGATCAATGATAATTGTTGAATTGAAGCCTGTCAGCTTCATCTTAATCGTAGATTACATTTGTAGAGGAGTCGACTGGCTTCAATTTGAGTGGTTTTCAGAGTTTCTGAAACCAAAACCAACAGATTTTCCCATATTACAGAAACCCAGTTCACAGAGTTGTTATTTTGGAGCAAAAGAATCAACTTGCAATCCAAAATCACCCCTTAAACTTCTGAACTCTTTGAACTATCCAAATCCCAGCTAAAGTGAGTTCAGAGTGGTTTCTAAAGTCTCATCCAAATCCTAGCTAAAGTGAGTTCCGAGTGGTTTTCAATATTTCTGAAACCTAAAACAAATAGATTGTTGCAGATCACAGAGACCCAGATGACAGAGTTGTTATTTTGGAGCACAAGAATCAACTTCCAATCCAGCACAAGAATCAACTTCCAATCCAAAATCACCCCTTAAACTTCTGAACTTTTTAGACAATCCAAATCCCAGCTAAAGTGAGTTCAGAGTGGTTTTTAAAGTCTCATCCAAATTCTAGCTAAATTGAGTTCAGAGTGGTTTTCAAAGTTTCTGAAACCAAAACCAACAGATTGTCCCAGATTACAGAAACCAAGTTGACAGAGTTGTTATTTTGGAGCATAAGAATCAACTTCCAATCCAAAATCACCCCTTAAACTTCTGAACTTTTTAGACTACCTATCCAAATCCCAGCTAAAGTGAGTTCAGAGTGGTTTTCAAAGTTTCTGAAACCAAAACCAACAGATTGTCCCAAATTACAGAAACCAAGTTGTCAGAGTTGTTATTCTGGAGCATAAAAATCAGCTTCCAATCCAAAATCACCCCTTAAACTTCTGAACTTTTTAAACTATCCAAATCCCAGCTAAAGTAAGTTCACAGTGGTTTTTAAAGTCTCATCCAAATCCTAGCTGAAGTGAGTTCAGAGTAATTTTTGAAGTTTCTGAAACCTAAAACAAAGAGATTGTCTCAGATTACTTTTTAGACTATCCAAATCCCAGTAGCTAAAGTGAATTTACAGTGGTTTTCAAAGTCTCATCCAAATCCTAGCTAAAGTGAGTTCAGAGTGGTTTTCATAGTTTCTGAAACCTAAAATAAACAGATTGTCTCAGATTAGAGAGACCCAGTTGACAGAGTTGTTATTTTGGAGCATTTATAATCAACTTTCAATCCAAAATCACCCCTTAAACTTCTGTACTTTTTAGACTATCCAAATCCCAGCTAAAGTGAGTTCAAGGTGGTTTTTAAAGTCTCATCCAAATCCTAGCTAAAGTGAGTTCAGAGTTGGTTTCAAAGTTTCTGGAACCAAAACCAACAGATTACAGAAACCCAGTTGACAGAGTTGTTTTTTTGGACCATCAGAATCAACTTCCAATCCCAAATCACTCCTCAAACTTCTGAACATTTTAGACTATCCAAATCCCAGCTAAAGTGAGATCAGAATGCTTTTTAAAGTCTCATCCAAATCCTAGCTAAAGTGAGTTCAGAGTGGTTTTCAAAGTTTCTGAAACCTAAAACAAACAGATTGTCTCAGATTACAGAGAACCAGTTGACAGAGTTGTTATTTTGGAGCATAAGAATCAACTATTCCAATCCAAAATCACCCCTTTACTCCTGAACTTTTTAAATTATCCAAATCCCAGCTAAAGTGAGTTCCAATCTGAGACCAAACCACATTAACCTTGGATTGGAATTTTGTTACTTCCTAGTTCTACGATAATTTCCATGATTGTGACAGCTTTGATTCAGTAGGGGCAAATCACAAGCTTGCATCGACTATAATGTTAAAATCGCATAGGTATAAGGTACTCCACAAGTCGTACATCGAAGTCGGGTACCATTTTGCAAAAACCCAACGAACTATAGCGTTTCCCCACACATCACCGCAGCCTCCTCTACTGTTTTGCGCTGCTGTTGCTGGCTCGATTCATTCGAACGACCAACTGATCGAGCGTTAATCGAGACGCAGTTGTTTTTGTTTTGATCGAAAACGCGAAATCCGAAAATACTTATTACCGAACGAAGTGCCGCGGGGAGCGATAAATGTAATTCGAAAAAATCTTTGTCGATATTTTGTTTGAATTTGGTCAAAATGGGCAATAGATTGTGTAAGAAGAAGGGTGACGATGTTGTAGACAATGTTGGTAGAAGTTACAGTAAAGAAAAGTCTCCGTCAAGGTTCGACAGGATTATAAATAGACTACATGTAAGTAATAATTGAACTAAGGAATTAAAAAAAAATAGGTATACTTAAACTATTGTTAAACAAATGTGTTTTAATAATAATGCTTAGGTATACCGGTTTAATTAATTGATATTTAATTATTGTTTATTGTTTTCACAATAGTGTGTTACGCTGTATAATATTGATATCCTAATGAACATCAAGTAAAATGTTGTTTTTTTACAAATCGACATAGAGATGTTAAATCTGGAACTTCTAGAGGCCATTTAGAAATCCATCTATGTATAATAGACATCCTGCTTTGTTTATAACCAGTTTATTACAGTGTCACTAAACTTTCAAGAACAGTCATTCGACACTTTTTGGTCATTTCCACACTCCTACTCAAAAATATATAGTAGTCACAGACTATGTAAATTAGGTTTTAAACCTACGCTCCATTTTTTCGCACAGAAGTTGCATGAGTAGGCTCAAACGGGAGCTTTGCGAATTACCTAATAATATTGTGTTTTATAACTTCTTTGTCTAATACATCTAGAAATCAATGTTCTCTTACCAAAATTTTATAAACAAATTCTTGAGAAATAAATCATTAGGTACCTATTGATTTGAAAAATATTGTAATAACAATGACTCAGAGCCCAGAGGTAGAATCATTTATTACTTCATCAACCTAGTAAAGATATATCATGTTGTATCTACCTGTTATTGAAAATACCAATGCATTAGCTTTATAAAAGCTTTTTTGAATAAGTAATTTCTGGCATTTCATTTATTACGAAATTTCCAATAATATTATCGGGTCGCATTCCTAACACTAACATCGATATAAGCATATTAAATTTTTCCGGCAAAGCTTAAAAATAGCTTTCCAAAACTAATATTTATTCACCGACAATATGAATGCGAGGCGACTGTTATTTTTAATTTTTGGAAAAATAAATTCTATACCGGTGCATCCACAGTTGTTGTGTTGAGATTTTTATGTATTCAACAGCGAAAGAGAAAGTTGAATTGGAATTCTTCTAAATGGATTTTATAAACAATTATTTGAGCAAAAATGCAGTGTGTTTTCACATTGAAAAATCATCGCAACCAATGTCACTACCAACTATGGTGATCACCTAAAAGCCGACCAGATTGCAAGGTTAAATAATCCAATTAAAAATTTCACCTTAGCGGATTGGTGACATCATCAAAACAAATTTAACATGGTCGATACCAGAGAGGATACTGCTTGAACTTAAATAATTTTTTCCAGTAGGTTTTCATTATTTAAAAAATAATTATATTGAATAGAGAACCTGTATAAGTTTAGACCTTCGTACGCGCTCTTTGATACTTCCAATTGAAATTCTAATGTCTGGACGTGTTTTGAAATGTTCTAATATATTTATGCAAGTTTAAAGTTAGTTCTAAAGTGTCATGTAACGATTTTCAAGATATTCTGAAAGTTTCCAGTTTTTAGATTGTTTTTCAAAAGTTAGTTTCAATGGGACCTTTCACTAAAATTTAAATACGTAATTTAAGTATAAAATCTCAAAGGAGGGACTATTTTAGGCATATATACCAAAAAAAAATGTTCTACAATTAAGGTTCAATAAGTTTTTCACAGCCACTCGAATCTGACCAAATTCAAATTTATTTTAAACGCGCCGATTTGCCGACGTCACATAAATATTCTTCATTTCGCTTATGTTGTTGCCAGGAGGACCGGCTCGGCTGTGTTTGCGCTCTGTAAAGATACGTAAAGGTTGGAATGCGCTGTTGTCGGTTGTGACTAAATGTAGTGCAGCGTAAAATAAATAAATAAAACTAAATATAAAAAATTGTATTAAATTGTGTTAAGCATAATTTAAAAAAAAAATGTTATAAAATCTTGAATCTATAACTAATTAATTAAACTACTTTTCATGAGATTTTGCCAACATTTCAGAATTAAATCTATTACAAATGTTGACAATTAGTGGCAACACGGTCAAATTGCGAGCTGCGACGTCATAGAAATAAATTCTGGCTTTTTATTTGGAGGTATTTCAAGCTGTGGTATTTCTTTGTTTTCTGTTTTCTCAAGAAGGACTTTGAATTTTTCAAAAGTAAAAATACAGAAAATTCTGTTTTTAGTTGCTTTATCCAAATATGCCAATTTCAAAAATTAGTGAAAGAGCCCATTCAAGTCAATTTTAACTTGGGAACCTAAACTTTAAAGTATCTCAAGCTTTCTTAAATGTTCCTGAAAGATCGGAAGTGTTCTGGACCGTTCTAGAATGTTTCTGAAATTCTAATTTGATTCTAAAGTGTTCGGTTGCGTTTTACAATGTTCTTGTAAGTTCCAATTTGAATTTGTCTCAAACCAATGCAGAAGGATTAAACATTGAATGTCTTCTGAAGCTTATCAAAGTTCTAAATTTATTCTATAGTGCTCTGGAGCTTCTTAAAATGTTTAAAAATTATCCAAATTGGCTCAAACGCATTCTGAAACGCTCTCTGAAGTTCTAAAATGGTTGCTTATTGGCATTGCTCTTGAAGCGCCGGAATGTTCCCTAACTTATCAGTTCTAAAGTGTTATAATGTGACAATTTTCAAGATATTCTTAAAGTTTCCAGTTCTAGATTATTTCCAAAAGTTCCATAATATGATTTATAAAGTGTTCTGGAATCTTCCAAAAGCTTTCTATTGTCGAAAGCTTAGAAGTGCTCTGATCTGTTCTAGAGTCTCTCAAATTTTAAATTGGTTCTAAAGTGTTCTGTTTTTTTTTTACAATGTTGTTAAAAATTTCGATTATTTGTCTCAAACAAATGCAGGAGGATTGTGCAGGACGCAACACTCTGTATCTAGGTTTCTTTTTTCTTCGGTATAGAAGTCGTGCTTTGCTTTGCTTTGATAACTATTGGTGCCAGCAACCCCAATTTAATATCTCCGATAATATACAGGGTGGGGCATGAAAAACTTTCCACCCAGAGTTTCTCAGGTGTTAGGTGTTCAATTAAAAATCGCTCAGACACGACAATTTATGTTTTTTGGAAGACACATTTTATTGGTATTTTCACCCCCTACCTGTCAACCCCTAAGTGAGGGTAACAGGTACCCCCAAAGTTTCAATTAGAAAGAGGGGTTGAGTGATATGTCATTTTGTAGCTATTTTCATTAAGATTATATCCTCGAAATTTTAAGTTGCTACTATCAACCATGCCGAAATGGCGACATGTCAAAGTTAGGATAAATGCTTTTTTCTACTGACGTTTCATAATAACAACTTTTCGATTGTCATTTCAGTTTTGAAACGACATTCTTTTAGGCACTGAGTGCGTGAAAGTTACTTTTAGGCACTCAGTGCGTAAAAGTGACTTTTGAATGCGTAAAAGTGACTTATGAGTGCGTAAAAGTAATTTTTAAGCACTAGTGCCTAAAAGTGTCATTCATTATTCAGAAATAAAAAACACACTAAACACATATTTGAATTTTGTTTTGTATTTATTATGAATATTGAAAATGGAATTACTGAATTGAACGTTTGGGTTACTCAAAACAGAACTTTGTGTTATTACCTACTTTCTAGGATTTTAATTATTGATGTCGAATTTTCAAAAGAAAATCGCATGAAAAGTGTCAGGTGGCAAGCAGGTAACAAAGATTTTGGGTGTAATCGACTTATTCACATGAAATAAAATTGTATTTTTTTATTATAAAATGCCAGTAGAAAAAATCTTGTATACAATACGTTACGAAACGATGTCTTTTAGTCACTCGACGTGTTTTTTTCACGTCGCGTGCCTAAAAGACGCTCATTTCGTAACTTATTGTATAAATAGCTATTTTCGATTATACAACTCACTGTACATTATTCCCATATGACACGAGAGGCTTAATAACTGATAAGCCTTTTGGGATTATCGCACTTGGTGGCAATATTGTTCATTTGCCAATAAAAATTAATAAAGTAGGTATTGAAGTTTAGTTCGTTGTATAACCTTTTGAATACCACTCGATGTTTCAGGATTACCTAATACTTTTACCTGACAGGTAAAAGTATTATCCGGTAATCCTGAAACCTCTTGTGGTATTACATTCGATAATCTAAACTGTATAGTTTTTACCGGTCACACCTATGCGTAGGCAACAGGTAAAAACCACACAGCATTTTTCCAATGATTTTTCCTAACTTTGACAAACCGCCATTTCGACAGGGTAAATAGTAGCAACTTGAAACTTCGGAAATATATTCTTAACGAATGCATGACGAATCACTCGACCCCCCTTTTCATTTGAAATTTTGGGGGTACCTGTCACCCCCACTTAGGGGTTGACAGGTAGGAGGTGAAAATAATAATAAAATGTATCCCCCAAAAAACAAAAATTGACGTGTTCGAGCGATTTTTAATTAATCACCTAAGACCTGAGAAAAACTGGGTGGGAAGTTTTTCGTGCCCCACCCTGTATGCCGTTTTGTAAGCGTATGATTCTGTTGAACTTGTAGTATAACATACTTAAGGTACGGTTTATTAGGATAGTACGCCGCGCACCACAGAACATACAACTGACAATGTAAACGTCGTCATTGGTTCAGGTATGACGTACACCCGTTCTCTGACGTCAGCGTCAGCGTCAGAAAACGGTTGTACGTCATACCTGAACCAATGACGACGTTTACGTTGTCAGTTGTGCGTCATATACTATCCTAACAAACCGTACCTTTAGGTTCGTTCAGTAAGATTGAACGGTGTGAATTTTTATTACTTTTTAAACAACAAATCTTCTGAAAAACGAAATGAAAAAGAAATAATACCTACGTTGTGGAAACTTACACAATTTTACTCACTGGACATGCGCTCGACATAGCAAATATTAGGGAAATTTAAGGGTGGTTGTGATATGTAAAAGAAACGAAAAATTTGTGAAACCTCTACTTTATTACTTAAAGTAAATCATACCGTTCTCATCCTATAACTAACGAGGAAAAAGAGCACGGCAGAGAAGCCCCCGATCTAACATTCCTCAAAAATCGAAACATACTGTGTCAT